TTATCGGTCTCATAATGTTTCCGAGTGCCAATCAGGCCTCTCCTTTGATCAGTGTTATAATCAGATACAGCACTCCAGCATGGATTATTAAGTTTTAACAGTTGACACATCATTTCTGATACCATAATCTGGCAGCACTTTACAATAAGTGACAGGTCCTCACTAATTCCTTTTGTATTCACTGTAGCAACGTTAATCATGAGTGATGAACTTTGCGTATTCATATGGATGTAATAGGCAGTTCCCAAGGACTGAGACTGTAATTTAGCTTTAACCTAATGGGCACTGATTGTAACAATAAGTAATTATGTCAGCTAAATGCAGTGTTGATGGCAATTGATGACAGCAGCGAAAGCCACGACACCATTTTGGAACCAAGCTTGGAATAGTCATTTGTAAAACCATAACGGGCCAAGACGAGGAACAATGTGTCCTCTCCTGTGTATCCTATCATCCAGCTACCTTCAGCCTGGCGAGGACAGTCCCAGCTGTGACAAACACTCTGTCACCTCCCTGTTTTACTCTCTGGCAGCTAATTTCAGGGTAGCCAAAAACACAGCCCGCTAGATGGATGGGATCAGCAGCGCCCTGAAGCTCAGGTAAAACAAGAGAGGCATCTCATCTCAAATGGGATGTTGGGATCAATCCCCTGGATCACCTTCAGGTCCTTTGGGCAAGTCACATCAGGTGACACATGGCCAACATCTGGTAATGTCACGTCTCCACAGACCGGTGCTTGCTGCTCCCCACAGCTGCAGAGCCTGGCTCTGTCCCCAGCCAGCAAAGCAGGGACAGGCTGCAGAAGACCTGAGACCACTGCTGAGCCCAGGGGCAGCTGAATTCAGCAGATATACAATTAGGAAAACACAGGCCTGAGAAATGTGCTCGATAACCTAAACCACAGCGTAAGTACATCCATAGAAATAGATGTTCTTCTATTACCCAGAAGGACTGGTGTGACCTCTTTTTGGGATAGAGAGGAAAATGAGGATGGGATATTTTTAGGCCAGAATATTTGGATTTGAATTGCTTTCTTTAGAAAGGGGGAGCATGGCAAAGTCATAATAAAAATTCTGTTAATGACAGTAATAAGACTGTAAGTGCTGGTGTCATCTTGAAAGAGTGATTCATGCTGCCAGTAAGAATCCTGTTTTGCTGTAATCATTAATGTGGTCAGAAAACACAAAGTAGCAATAATGAGGTAGAAAGGACATATTCAAGGAAATAGTTTTGGGGTGCTCCCTCAAGATAATGTCCCTGCCCCTACCAGACTGTGAGGAGGAAGCTGCCTCCCTCAGCAGGACCTTTGGGAAACAGCAGCAAGCACCTTTTTTAAAATACACAGCAGAATGCCTCAGGTTCTCTATTTACTTACTATTTTAATTAATTTGCTAAATTCCAAGCAATTTTTTTTTCCTGGACTCATAGAAGGGTTTGGGTTGGAAGGGACCTTAAAGTTCCAACACCCTGCCATGGGCAGGGACACCTTCCACCATCCCAGGTTGCGCCAAGCCCCATCCAGTCTGGCCTTGAACACTGCCAGGGATGGGGCAGCCACAGCTTCTCTGGGTAACCTGTACCAGTGCCTCACTACCCTCACAATAAAGAATTTCTTCCTCACACCTAGTCCAAACTACTCTCTGTGCATTTAAAGCCATTTCTTTTCCCTGTGTGACCACCCACACACAGCACCAGAGCCCAGCTCAGTGCACACAGCAGGGAGACTCCTGGGGAAGGTTGAAAGCACAGATGAGACAGTCTTGTGACTGTGCTTTAAAAGTGTCAGATCTACCTGGCAGAAGGCAGCAGAGCAATGATGTGCTTGCAGAGGCAGGCACAAGGCAGGGAGCTGAGTCCTGGCAGCCCCAGCCCTAAAAGAAGGGACAACCCAGCAGCACTTCCACTTGCTCAGGGAGCGAGAGCAGAGCCATGATGGCATCGTGATGCATCAGCAGGGTTTTGGTAGCCTCCTAGAACCCTGAGACCTCCAAGGTCTGCACTTTTAAATGGGCTATTTGTTAGATTTTGGTCCCAGCGTTTACCTTGAGGAAGGTGAGAACCATGCTCCAGGTGCTGGGAGACCTTGTGGAAGGGAAGGTCCCAGTGGTGGGGAAACCGTTGTGGATGTTATCATGGCTGAGGAGAAACCACCTAAAACCTCACAAAGATCCTAAACTACTGACATCCATCACTCACCCTGGGACTAACTGAGCACCAGCCCGCAGCCCCTGCCGTAGAGAACGATGTCAGCACTGCAAGAAACATGGACAAATTATGATGACCAGGTTCAAAGCCAAAAATAGCTGCCTATGTCCCTGATTTCAGGAGATTGGGTAAAATACCCAAGACAAAGAAGCTGTTATTGCTGAAAATGCAGTCGGGATGTGCAGCTACAGGCAAAAATGCCTCCCAGTAATTGCAGATGTGCTGTCAGGGGGACGCGCTGCTCGTGATGCCGCACAGCCAGCTGATGTGGAGCAAGCAGCAGCAGCCTTCGTCAGCATCATATGCTGCCTCCCCGGAGGTGGGAAGATGAGAAGGGGGTGCTGCTGCTGATCAGCATGGTGATGATGGAGAAGACAGCATTCCCCACCTTGCCAGCCAGCCCCTACACCGAAAAGGGCTTTCATCGCTACAGTAGTCACTACTGAAATACACTGTCACACACAGCCTCTGAGACGAGGGGGGGGAGAGCAGCTGGGGAAAATACACTGAGGACCCTTGGAAGTTACAAAGTTAGAGAAAATCACAGGGGCAATGTTTACAGGGGCAATGAGGAGGAGAGGTGGACTCCAGCAGTGGCGTGGGGGCTGGCACAGTGGAAGTTACAGTGTTCTTGTTGCCACCATCTACCTCAAACATGCACTCTCTGCAGCGACCCCTTTCTTACTCCAGACACACTTGGTTGGGATGCAAGTCCTCACCCCACAATCAAGCAAGGTCAGACCAGACCCTGGAAGAACCACAGGCTGCTGGCAACAGTTTGGTCACGCTGTTCCCAAGGGGATCAAGGAGACCCCTTGGCACATACAGTAACAGCAGCACCGTGCCCAGCCCTGCTGCTGGGGCACGGCTGGCAGCAGCATGCACAGCCACCTTGGCGAGGTGTCAGCCACACCTGCATCAGGCAGCTTTAGAAGTGCACTTAAGCATCTCTAAATGAGACTGGGGGGGGATAAAGGGGCCTCTTAGAGACAATACCTGCAGCCTGATGCTCCTGAAGGCACCCCCAGAGCCATCCCAGAGCTCCTGTGGCTGGTGCAAGCTAGCAAGGTGCTATCAATATACTCCTTCACCCCAGGTGAGAACGGGCATCTGTGACTCAGAACAACCTCACTGCCAGCAGAATTCAGCCCCTGAAAGGTCTGTCTCCACCTGAAAGGCGTCAGTGTCCGAGCTCTTCCTCGGACGGCTGCAAAGTCGCTCGCTCCCTCCGCCCCATGGCCTTGACAGGTGATGCCGGTGGAGGGGGGACCCAATTACTGCTCATCACTGCCCCGGCACGGTCCAGGCGTCAGGCCGATGTCAGAGCACACCGTGACACAGCTGACGTGATGCCCGGCGCTGCGGAGGGAGCAGGGGAGCGAGGGGTGATTGGCAGCCTGAGGCAAGCAGTGCCGAAAGAACCAGCCTTCCACAATTAGCCGTGCCGAAGCGTTTCCCCCTCCCCGTGTGAGGAAGGATATGAGACAGTAGATCCTCGTCCAGGGATGCTGAGCACGGGGCAGGATTCATACCCCAGCCGTGCTCAGGATGAGGGGCTGCCATGCAGGGAGTGGACAGCTCAGCTGGTCCCAGGGAGATGGACAGTAAATCCCAACTGGCAGCAGCCTCAGAGGCCAGCGCTAATGACCCCGGGCTGTCACAAGCTGCACTGTCCCCCCTGCAGCAGATGTGACAGCCCCAAAGTAAGCAGGTACCCACTATGTCCCCGCTTCCTCACACAAAAGTGACAAGAGGGACAGGTAATAAAAGTCCAGGCCAAATCCTTGACAGAGATCTGATGGCTTGAGCTGACTCAGGATCCCTCCCTGCCAGCTTCATTCCTGATAAACAGCTACCCCAGCAGGAAGGGTGGCCAGCCAGAGCATACCCCCAAAAGCTGGCAAGGCAGCCCAACACCACCTCCTCTCTTCCTTTCAGCTGGCCTACAGACTCCCCTCTCGGGTTACACTAAGAGGGGAAACTGAGGCAGGGCTCAGCATCCTCTCCCAGCTACCCCATCTCTGCAGCCATGCTCTCAGCCAGGCACAGGGAGCTAGTCTGGGAGCACTGATACTGCCCAATGCAGCAGGGAGGCAGGAAAAGCCTGGCTCAGACACATCCAACAGCATCCTCCCTCTGGCCACCCACAAGCCTTCCTCCCAGGTGGTTTTCAAGCAGCCAAAGCCAAACTTACCTCCCATCACAAGCCCTCCTTGGTGCTCCTTTGCTAACTGAAACCCAACATTTATTCCGTGGCCCAAGTTATACTGTAGAAAATAGAACTGTGGTAGTAACACCAAAATAAGAAAGCAGGAATGGCATCAAGTTGCCAGTGGCTGGGATGGAACCACTAGAGCTGCCCTGCCAGCTCAGCCAGCAGCTGTGCACAGGGATGGATGAAGGACGCGTGACAACCTCCAGGTCAGCAGCAGTGGAGATTCCCTGCTGCTCCCTGTACTGAATCCTGCCCACCTGTGCCAGCCGTGGTGCTGTGCCCCAGCTGCATCCCCTCTGCTCAGGGGGTTCACCATCCATGTGTGCCACAAGATCTGGGGTGTGACATTTCACCTGGATTTGGGTGGACCTGGACAGTCACCGACCCACTACTAGAGCTGATCCTCCCCTTTCCCACAGGACAAACCTCCCCTTCCGCTGTTCAAGCACCTGTAAACTCTGCTTAGTTTACAGCAGCAAACCCTTCTGCACCAAACATTCGCATCTGCTCTCTCATTACTGACCTGAATTCCTCTTTCACATCAAATTGGAGCAGCAGATGAAATTTTAGGCTAGCTCTGGGCTCCCTCATCCCTCTTTTATTCTGTGTCTGCGCCAGCTTAACTTCCTGGGAAAGCTCTGAGGGGTATCTCTTCTCCCACGGGTCTGTAGCAAACCATCATTTGGCACCGGGAGGAGAGAGCTGGATTTCCATCATGGTATCACGTTGTTTCCAATTTTGTCACAAGCTGAACTTCTGCTCCTCTTCTTTAAACCTCAGGAGATACAGCTTAGAGCCAAGGAGAGACTGCCTACCAAAAAATCAGTTTCTAAAAGGCACATGACGGGGAACAGAGAGCCAGAAGCATTCGAGGGCTGAGAAAAGTCCCCTCACAGGCAGGAGCTGCATCCCTGGGGGTCACTGGAGGTGTTAGGTGGTACTGCTGCCTAAGCCCCCACTGTGCTGAGGATAAAAAAGGAACTTTAATCTCCAGGAATTCACACAAAAAGCTGCAACTTAGAGCGAGCTCAAAGGCAGAGCTTGTCACTCTCACATAAAATCTCCTTCTCCCCACTTTTGCTTCCCCACAGGACATCTCCCAGCCGACAAACCTCTGGGCCAGTGCAGACCCTGCTGAGATGACACCAGGTTTCCAGCAAGGGGGATGCTCCTCTAGTGCAGGGCAAGCAGCTGAAGTGCCGTCAAGAGAAACAAAGGCGCTGGCAAACTTTGAGAAATGCCTCTCATTATTTACAGAATGACACAAGAAAACTTCAGACTGAAACAAGAAAGGCAATTAGTTTCCTGTACGGAAACAAAGAGACATCTGTGCCAAGTATGCTAACATATACACAAGGGGCAGGTATACAGTACATGAGGAATTTCTTCCAGCTGCAAATCCACCCCCAAATTCTCAAGTCAATCTTGAGTACTACGATGCTCAGCAATCCTCTTAGAAGTGTCCAGATGCTTTAATAACTTAATTCTAATCTTCTCAGACACCATTTTCCATTTAACTGCTGAAGCACTGGAATAAGACAGAGGGGTCAGGACTGAATAAGTCACAGTGGGGAACAGCAGGTCTGTTTTGGAAGTCTGAGAAGCCTAGTCTAATTAAGCTGGTCCCAAAGTCATCATCTGACGGTGGTGAGGCACTGGAATAGGTTGCCCAGAGAAGCTGGGGATGCCCCCAACCCTGAGTGTTCAAGGCCGGGCTGGATGGGGCTTTGAATAATCTGGTCTAGTGGGAGGCATCCCTGTCCATGACTGGAGGTCGGAATGAGAGGATGTTTAGTGACCATTCCAGCCCAAACCATTCTATGATTCTGAAAGCAGCTCACCTCCCTGCTGCACTGAGCAGACCTGATCCAGCCTTGCTGCACATCCACTCCCACCCCAGATTCCTCCAGCCCCCGCTTCTGACAGGTTCCTCCAGACTTCCCATCTCAGCCAGCTACCTTTTAGACAACACTTTCTCGAGATTGTTTTAAACAAGTGAGGAAATTTTGGTGACACTTTAATACATAAAGTGCTCCTTATTTTCTCTGTGCCAAAGAGCAGAGCTTTCTAACACGCTTTTCTGAGTTAACATCAGGCGTTAAACAGACGCACACGTTGTTTTAGCAGGAGCCCACATTTTATAATAGGCTTTCTATCTAACAGCTTGATATAGCCCCTTCCATTAAGCATTTATTGCTAATGCATTGTAAAGTGTAACATGCTATATACGCTATTAAAGAATGGAGCTGCCACGTTCTCACCCCTTAATAATGAAACACTTATGAACGGGAACCTTAGGTTAAAGAGTTGTGAATTAAGTTTAATCTCAGGGAGATCATCAAGCACTCTGCCAGTACATCGTGCTGTGCTGTCAGAGGGAGGGCTTGGACCCGAGTCCCCTGGGGAAGCGCTCCTTGACTTTGCTTTGGAGAAGACCTTGGTGAAAGTGCTCCTCACCAGGCAAGGGTTTGGCTAAATGCCACCAGACTGCTGGAGATCTTGCGCTCTTCCTCAGAGGGACTCCCCAAGAGCCACATGGTTATTGACTCTAATAATTCAATATAAACCCTAATCATTAGCAACCTTTTTAGATAAGATACATCCTCAGCTGAGCATTATTGTATTTTTTCCTTACTATTCAATAAAAAAGCCATTAACCTTTTTTTTTAAAAAATGGTGCAAACCCCCTTACCTTGGCAAGTAGCTGGGGTTTTAAGGGCACAAGGAGCAATGACTTGATGCTACAGGGTTCAGCCATAAAGGCAAGCAGTGTCAAGACCATTCCTTTAGAAAGAGAAATCATCTCCATCTCTTCCCTCCCCCTGGTCTCACCCTCCCAGGGATCTATTTATACACACGCTGCTGCACAGCAAGTCCTGCTTTTGTTCCTTTTCCCTGTTTATGAGTTGCTGCAAAAGAAAGCTCCCCAGCTCCAAAGCCATTGCCCTGTAAACCCTACAGCAGGATCTTGGATCAGCATAAGGCAGGAGTGGGACTTTTGATCAGTGCAAGAGATTCGCCTTTTTCACACCCACCTGTCCCCTGGCATTCATCAGTGATGGGATGCCCAACTTCTATGTGTGTTCTTGAGGATTTATACTTACTGGAGTGGGGCTGACCTTAGGCTGGGCTGGGAGATGGTGTGTTCGGAGAGCTTGTTCTGCAAGGGTCAGTTATCCCTAACTCAGTTTCCATGAAGAAAAGGTGAAGACAACTTTGGTCTTCAGTGGCACTTCAATGACACAAGCTCACACCTGCTGGGCTTTCGCCCCACATCATGAAATTCAAAACCACTGGCTTTTTCCAGTGTCAGAGTTGGAAAAATCCAAGACCTCAGTGACATCTCTGGGGTGAATCAAATGGCAAGGCATTTTGGATCGTCTGAGCTTTGGTACCCAATTCAAGACATTTCTGAACAAAAGCACTCTGAGTGCCTGGAACTCCCCCCAAAAAACTCTCAGGTTCTTGAAGAGGCTTCTATGTGGTGCGGGAGACCAATCCTTTGCCTGTTTGTTCTTATTGCACATTACTGGCGGTCTTGGTGAGAGTTCAAAATGCAAACACCCACAATGGTACTTAGGGAAGCTTAAGCACATGTTGGCAGTTGGTTGTGTTGGGCTTCTCCCCCGCCCAGCCACCCCTTGTGCACCCAAGATGTGCCACTTCGGTCAGTCTTGGGAGGGAAGAGCAATAAAGGGCAGCCATGTGGCTTCCACAGAGCCCAACAGCAGTGCAGGTTTCAGGGATAAAACACGCACCTCGAGGGCTTGGCACAGTTTCTAGTTGTGCCCCCTGATGCTGCTGGACAGCCGAGGGCTCGTATGCATAGGGACAGCCACAGCTCATGAGGGATATCCCAGCTGGGGTCTTCCACCTCTCCGGGAGCTGCTCACACCCACGCTGACCAAGGCTCTCCTGGGCCCAGCACCATCAGGACACTCCAGTTACACTTGTCCCTTCAGCTGCTCGGCCGAAACAGGGCACCTAAATTATTACACAGACAGAGCACACTTGGAAGAGGTGGAGGGGTTGAACCCTCCAATTGCATGCAAAATCTCTTCACAGCAAGCAAGCATTTAAAAGAAGAGACCTCCACAGCTGACTGCTCCTTGTCCTGGAAGTCAGATTTAAAAAAAAAATACATCTTTTTAGAGGATGCATTTTCTAAACTTCTTATGAGTTTTTTTCAGATGAAGGGGGGTGGAAGCTCATCCCAGGCTGACGTATCAGTGTCCTCAACACTCACAGCAGGACCTCAGAGGGGTTCAGTCCTCTCGTCCCAATGTGCCCTGCGTGGGTACAGAGGACCCCACAAAACCTCCCTTGGTGAGTGCACCACGGAGTTGCCTTATTTCCCCCATGACAATGGCCTTTCTTCCTGGTGCCCGTGGTTCCCTTTGTGTTTACGATAACAGAGGGATGCTTTATTGCATTTCGCCCGCCCGCTGCCATGGCAACCGGCGCTTGCTGCGTGCTGTAAAAATAACCCTCCTTCTTTGATAGATTTCACTTGAGTGAAAATAACCCTTAAAAATAGGTTGAAATTTCCATACTAACTCTTCCAGGAGGTTCCAGGGAGGCGAGAATGAATTGCAGGATCAGCTAACGGGACGCAAGATGCCACCCCGGCACCCTCCTGCTTTTGCACTGAGCTCTCGCAGAGGAGCCGGTGAGGATGCTTTCGGGGAGCTGCCACTAGCCAGCCCCCCTCCATGGTTACCATGGTCCTGATGACATAGAATGATAGAATCCTAGAATGGTTTGAGTTGAAAAGGGTCTTAAAAATCATCTCGTTCCAACCCCTTTGCTATAGGCAAGGACACCTTCCACTAGACTGAGGGCCCCATCCAACATGTTCTTGAACACTCCTAGGGATGGGGTATCCTCAGCTTCCCTGGGCAGTTTGTACCTCTGCATCACCAATCTCATGGAGAAGACTTTTTTCCTAGTATCCAATCTAAACCAACACTCTTTCAGTTGGAAAACATTCCCCCTTTTCCTGTCACTAAATGACCTTGTCAAAAATCCCTCTCCATCTTTCTTGTAGGCTCTCTTCAGTAGACGTGGTGTTGCTTCTCGGTATTTATTGCAAAGAGAAGAGGTGCTGTCCCCTCAGTGCCTGCTATGGGGTCTGGTTGGGATAAAGTTCAGGTTTATCTTCTCAGCTCCTGTGCACCATGGCCTCAAAAAAAGGCTTTTCCCATCTTGAAGGTGCAGGGACCCTTTGCTGGAAGCTGGTATTCTCCATCAGCACCTAAGCATTTTATAGTGGGCCATCAGGAAAGCTTCAGCATGGGTTTTGATTGGATAGATCAGAGCACATGAACAGCCAGCATTGGATCTCTCCCAAAACAAAGCTTCTCTCATGCCTGGGAGAGCAGAAATGGCCATCTCTTCACAGACCACAGGCCCAGACCCTCAGACAGAAATGCAGAGAGATTCATGGGCATGACATGTGCTGATGCTGAGAGAGGTTCAGGACTCCCTTCTTTGCTTCAGAGCACCTGTACTGATCCCAGACAGCAGAAAGTTATCCAGAGCCTTGCTCTGGAGCAATGAGGGTATTTATCTCACACCAGCTCTTGACTCATCCTCAGCCAGAAGATCTTTTTTTCTCTTTTGGCTCATTTCTTTCCTTTTTGTTCCCCCAACCACTCAACTCTTCTACCTCCAAATAAAAGCCGATTCACATTTTAGAGGTGGCCCCTGATTCCTCCCATGAGTTTAGGTGAGTCGAACCATAAGAAGTGGAGTAATGAGATTATGATTAAAAGCACACCTTGATAGTGGGGCATCCATCAAGCTGTCATAGAAATCGTATCTCGGAGGCTGCTCTCATCAATCTGACCTTTCAATTATTACCCAGAGTTCATGACTCTAAGTGTATATAATTCCTACCTCAAATCTGAGAATACATGCCTTCGGTTTTTTTTTTTTTGGCTTCCTTGTGCGTGGCTGTGCGAGGTCTCCTTCACTGGCACATCAGTGATGCTTTGCAATTCAAATTAACTTAAACTAGCTCTTCTCTCACCGAAAAGTTTGGAAACAAGATCAAAACACTGCCAGGGCACCTGAAGGCTGCTGTTTGACATTTTTATCAATGTGTTTTTGACTTTTTCTCAGCTGTTTCAAAGACAGTGACCACTAAGGCTAATTCCAGCAGTGCTCACAGCCCACACCCTACTTCAGCTCATGCTCCCACAGAAAGGTGAGGATGCTCAGGCCATGCCACAGCCCGCCCTCAACAAGAGGGAAACCCAACCAAGACAAGGTTACCCAGGCATCTGACAAATGAGCTTTTCTGTCCAAACATCACTGAAAAATCTTGGTTTTGTGAGCTGCAGCCTAGCCAACATGGTAATTCAGGAGCAGAATGGAGCCTACTTCAGCTTTCCATTGGCATCATTAGGAGGATTCCTCTGCCTGTCTCAAGGACCAGAGCACCACTCACCTCCAACAGCTCCAGGTATCCCACCCCACCACCTGTCCAGTGTAGGGGCTGAGATAAGACACAATTTGCTTGGCACCAGCCTGGCAACTTGCAGAATCCAAGCAAATTTCCATAGGACACAGAGTTATCAAGCAATGAAATGCTGCCTGAACCTCTTCTACAATTACACATGCAGGTCATCAGCCTGTCCACAGGGAATACCCAGCATCTGGGAACAGGGCATCCTCTTGCTCCCTGCTGGCTATGCTAACAGTAGAACAAGTGCTCGCTCTTCCTACACAGCAAGTTAGGAAGTTGTTCCTAGACGGGATAAAACAATTGAAGCCATTTGCTTTATAATTTTTCTCCAAAGGAACTCTTTGTTTTTTATAAGAGTAACCTTCCCTGACTTTTCACAAACAAAAAAATCCCACAGCAAGCAGGTTTTGGAAGAAAAGAAATCCTTGGCTGGTAAAGGAAATACAGGAAATAAAAATGCCTTGATTTGGGATGTTTGACAAATCCAGCCCTGAAGACTTTTTCTGGTGTTTGTATTATTGGAGGGTCTGTGCAGCCTTCAATCACAACTTTCTTGTACAAATAAGTATTGAATGGAAGATCTTTTGCAAAAATCTCTGCACTGCTCAAACGACTGAAACTATGGAAATTTCCATAACAAGAGCCTTGAAAATAACCCCAGAGACTTAACATGACAGTCAATGCTGCAGCAAAGGTGTTCAGGTGAGGTCAGGCAAGGCCAGGAGAGAGTGAGTCAAAGACACTCTCAAAAGCAGGAGCATCTTTCAGAAGTGACCCTGAGACCACCATAGCATTAGAACATTTCCCTGCTAGCACCTGCTAATCCATGCAGCCCCTTGCAGTGGAGCTGAGAGTGGATCTGCTGCCGTGTCACAGGACCAACCTCCCTCCATCGCAGCCTGGCCCAGCCAGCATCACTACAGACTCATTGCTAAGCCACTGCCATTATTGGAAATAATCCCTTTTCCAGGGAGAAGACACTTGACAATATTTCAGGCATAACTCCTTTTAAAGGCCTCACACAAGCCTTATTTCCTGAAGGATTAAAGGTAAGCAGAAATGTATCCCCAGTGTCCAACTCAGTGGTGGGAACAGCTGTCCTCAGCTTCAAGATAAGCACAAGACAAGACACCCAAGACATTCCACCTAGCTGAGGGACCAAATGCCTCAGCATCATGATGCTCAAAAAGAGCCTCAAGAAGCTGAGCCCAGCTCTCATGCTCCAGGTTCTTACGTCTTGCAAACCTCAGTGCTGTGGGACTAGTTCCATCTTGCTCCTGGAAACTAAATGCAGGTTCCCTTCTGTCCAAGAAAGAGGTCATATGGCCACACACCACCACAGTAATTTCTCTCCTACCTGGTAGCCACACAAACAAGCAGTCTGGAGGATTCTACGTCTGCATTGCAGCCACAGGTTGCTCCCTCACAACCTGGCCTCCACGCATTTCCCTAGCAAGCAGAATTTGATGACAGCACCAGCTGGAGCTTCCCTGCCACAAAAAGGAGATGAAACCTGCAAAAGTCCCACTTCCATTTTTGAGACCAAGCCTTCACTCTCAGGAATCAAATCTCTGCTGTCTTAGAGGAAACCGTTTCATTTACATCTCCGTGATGACCCAAAAGAGGCTAATTACAGTTATCACCCTGGCTGCTGTATGAAACGAGCTGATGGGCTCATGAATTCACCTGAGCAGGCAGCAACCACATCATCTGACACAAGACTTGTCGCTGGAGAAAGGTGGCAGCTTTGGCAGCAGCCAGGTGGTGAGGAGAGGCATCAGTTTTGCTGCTACTGAGAGGAAAGTTCTCTCCCCCAGAGGAGCAAGGGGGCCGGCGCACTCCCATTCCACCTCCATGCAACCAAAACGATGCTTAATGCCTCCCTCAAGGTGGTAACTGCAGCTGAGCTGTGCTGTCAGGAAGGCTCTAATCCTGTGCTAATTTATTTTATCAAATTAAAAAGACGAGCATCCATGGAACACCAGAGACCTCCTGTTCTCAGGGTCCCAGCAGAAAGCTGCATGATCCCTTTGTAAAGAGGGTAGGGGGGTTGTTGTTTTGCTTCTCTTTTTGCCAAGAATATAAAATTAATAAAACAGGATTAAGGGAGATATGGTTTTAACCGATTCCTTAATCCCAGAGAATAATTAATGAGAGCAATGCACCACTTGGCTCGACTCTCCCCACATTTGAATAATAAATAGCATCCACAAAAAAAAAAAAAAAAAAAAAAAAAAAAAAAAAAAAAAAAAAA